TGGGCGGCGCCAAGTTCTTCTCCAAGCTTGACCTCAAGTCGGGATATCACCAACTCGAGATTCGGCAGGAGGACCGCTACAAGACCGCGTTTAAGACGCGATATGGGCATTTCAAATGGTTGGTTATGCCATTTGACCTTACGAATGCCCCAGCCACTTTCCAAGCGGCTATGACAACGGAGTTCCAACACATGCTGGATCGATTCGTACTTATCTACCTCGACGACATCCTGGTGTACAACCGGAGTTTGGACGAGCATGTGGAACACCTGCGCACCATTTTGGAGCGGCTACGACAAGCCAAGTACAAAGCCAACCGCAACAAATGCGAATTCACGCGGCAGGAGCTGGAGTACTTGGGATATTATGTGACGCCGCAAGGCATCCGTCCGCTTGCGGACAAGATCAAGGCCCTCCGCGTATGGTCCGAGCCCACCAACACCACGAAAGTTTGTTCATTCATGGGGTTGGCGGGCTACTATCAGCGATTCATCACCGGGTACTGAAGGATTGTTGCACCTATGACGAGATTACAATCGCCAAAGGTGCCATTCGTATTTGATGACGACGCACGCCAGTCATTCCAAGCACTTAAGACGGCCATGCTCATGGCACCCGTCCTTAGCATCTATGACCCCACCCTGCCTACGAGAGTGACAACTGACGCTTCCGACTATGGCATTGGGGCAGTCTTGGAACAACACGACGGCGACGACAAGCACCCTGTGGAGTATTTCAGCCACAAAATGCCTCCCATCAATTCGCTTGATGATGCAAGGAAGAAGGAACTGCTCGCGTTTGTGATGGCTCTCAAGTGAGGGCGGCACTTCCTCCTTTGGTGTCGTAGGTTCGCATGGGTCACGGACAACAACCCATTGACCTACTACAAGACGCAGGATACGGTGAGCAGCACGATCGAACGATGGATGTACTTCATCGGCCAATTTGACTTCACACCGAAACATCTCCCCGGCCTCTCCAATCGCGCAGCAGATGCACTCTCGCGAAGACCTGATCTTTACGTTATGACACATCATGCCTTCGCATTCGACGAGGAACTCCAGCAACACTTCATCCGGGGCTATGAGTCCGATCCGGACTTCGCCACGTTGTATGCGCAACTATCTTCGGATCACCCGCCGGCCAGCCACTATCGCATTGCCGACGGGTACTTGCTCCTCCACTCGAGAGGCAAGGACTTATTGTGTGTCCCACGAGACCGTCGTCTTCGGACTCGCCTTCTCGGGGAGTACCATGACTCGCGACTCGCTGGCCACTTCGGAGTCAACCGCACTATTGCACGGCGTCGACAACGATTCCGATGGTCCGGCCTCATTACCGATGTCACTCGATATTGCGACTCTTGCGAAGTTTGCCGACGAAGCAAGCCCCGCAATCGCAATCCCTACGGCGAGTTGCGCCCGATGCCTATCCCACGGGAGCCCGGCCTCTCCATTGCCATGGATGTCACCGGACCGTTTCCCCGCGATCGCCTCAGGAACGACGGCATCCTCACAGTTGTGGACCGTTTGAGTAAGTATGCGCGTTTTCTCCCTTGCAAGTACTACTCCACGGCTCCCGAGCTGGCACGCCTCTTGCACACCGGTTGGATTTTTGTGGCCACGGTGTATCGGAAGACATAGTCAGCGACCGCGACACTCGCTTCATGTCGACATTTTGGACTGCTCTCATGCAGGAGTCCGGCACGAAGATGAAACCAAGTCCGGCGCGGCATCCACAGACGGACGGGCAAACGGTGCGGGCCGATCAAACCGCTCAAATGATGCTTCGTACGCTCATCCGTCCGGACCAGAAAGATTGGGTTGACCGCCTCCCCGACATCGAGTTCGCCTACAACACTTCGGTGCACCTGGTGATCGGCGCGACTCCATTCGAGTTGCACCATGGTGGACGGAAAGGCCGTATCTTTGCCGACCTTCTCCTACCACGACCAGCCGACATCGACGCCGCTTGCTCTCCCGCTTCCGTCCGGAAGTACAGGGAATTGCTGACTCAAGCCCGCGCCAATATGCAAAAGGCTCAAGTCCGCATGCAGCAGCAAGCCAACAGGGGTCGCGTGCCATGTCCCATCCGCGCCAATGATCTGGTTTGGGTCTCCGCGGAAGAGTTTGCACTAGAATAGGATGTTTCACGCAAACTGCTTCCCAAGTGGTTTGGACCATGGCCCGTAACATCAGCCGCGGGTGATGAGCCCGATGGCCCTTCATTTGTGATCAACATCCCCCCGCATCTGATGGTCCATCCAGTCTTTCACGCCTCGAAGCTGGCAACTTATACACCAGCTAAGAGCGACGACTTTCCGGGCCGACGATCGCAGGACCCTCCATCTATGGATGGTCATCATGAAGTTGACCGCGTCATCACGGATCGCAAGTTTGGCAGTAAGCCTCGACAGTACAAAGTTACATTCAAAGCATGTGATCCCGACGACACTCGGTGGACTTCAGGAACAGATTTGAAAGCATCCGCACCGCTGATCTACGCTCACTACGAGCGACAAAGGTTAGCTCAGGGACCTTCACGACCTGCCCCTCCCACCCGGACTGTGGTCCCTCCCTCAGACAGACAGCTTCGCCCTCGCAGGTAAGCTCGGTCTTTCAAGGAGGGGGGGGTGTGGCATACTGCGTAGCCACACGGGCCTGCAGGGCCCGTCCCGCATTCTCAGCCTAAAAGCCTAGAAATAAAGGCTTACAGGCCCCATGTCGTTTCAGCCTGAAAACTGAAAACGAGGGCCTGCAGGCCCTATTTCATTTTCAGCCTAAAACAGGGCTTTTCAGAGGGCCACTTTCGGGCCCTCATAAGATCGACCTACCCTAAYACTCAGGCACAAAACCAGGGTTTCGGGAACAGGCTATTTCTGGCCTGTTCCCACGACAGCCTCAAGCAGGAGTTGCAGCGGCAGCCCCTGACTCCCTGCGGCATTGGCAAGAGCAGCCTCCTGGACTGCCTCGCCCTGCAGTCAGGAGGCAGGCCGAGAAGTACATAGGGAGTTCCCATGCACTTCACGGGTAGGTAGTTGGACAGAAGGCTGGAGTAGTCTTCAGGATTCCGCCGCAACACTCAGGAGGAGCACTGCAGGAGTAGCTTAGCGCTAGCAGTAGTCTTCAGCGCTGGACGTTAGTAGCCATAGCAGTAGTCTTCAGCGCTGGGCGCTAGTAGGTGGTAGTAGTAGTGTTGGAGAGAGATGGCTGGCGGAGGCCAGTGAGACTTACCTGTGGCGCCATAGCTCCAACTCCATCTTCGAGGTACCTACATCAAGGCGCCAACTTCACAGGTTAGTACTGGACTGAGCGAGAGAGAGAGAGAGTTCTTCTTCTTCCTCTTCTAAGTCCACCATCTCTTCTTCCCCTCTCACCACCTGACTTCTCAGTATCAGCGGACTACTACAGAGAGAGAGAGAGTTCTTCTTCTTCCTCTTCTAAGTCCACCATCTCTTCTTCCCCTCTCACCACCTGACTTCTCAGTATCAGCGGACTACGACAGAGAGAGAGTTGTGACTTGAGACTTGGCGACATTGGATCCAGACTCGACATTGGGATTCAGACATTTTGACGAGGGACTATTTGGGCCTGTGCCGAAGACTTGGTGTTGACGACATTCCCATCTTCCCCTCTTCTTCGTCTGTGTATGGTTGGGGCTGGCGCAGTCTTCCTGTGTGAGCGCCAGACCCCTTCACACCATGGAGTGATGATGATGATGTATGTTCGGGGCTGCAATGCAATATTGATTGTTCGGATCATTGGTATCTAAGTTTTCCGTTGTGCTATCTTGTACTTTGTATTGAGAGGTCGGTTCTTGTTCTGGTCTGCACCGTTACAGTATGTTGAAGACACCGCTACAGCGCGCGCGCGCGCAAGAGAGAGAGAGAGAGAGAGAGAGAGAGAGAGAG